CGCGCTCCGGGCTAACAGCAGCTGCAGGGCAGGGGCGGAGCTTGCTGCCCGAAGCCTCCCGGACACTAACCTGGCTTCTCTCCCACCGCCTGGTGTGGCCTCGCCTCTCCCGCGCCGCTTGTGGTGGGCTCCCCCTTCTGTCGCCTCCCTCTCTGTAGGTCACCTGCCACCCAGTGTCTCCCCTGAGCAAGAGGCAACGTCAGCGCTGGCTCTGGGCATGTGGGCCCCGAGAGGGCGGGTGGCAGGGCCAGCCAGCTCCCTCAGCGAGCAGGATCCGGAGGCCCCAGGGCAAGGGTAGGACCTCCTGGCTGGCAGGACAGGCTGAGGTGGCTCTTGTCTGGTGTCCTGGCCCTAACCGCAGCGCCAGTAACCCTTTGGCTTTCCTGCTGTCTGTCGGGGTTCACTCTGAGTGTGTCAGTGGGGTGGGGCCTCCTGGGGCATGTCCCCAGCAGTCTGTGAGGAGACAGGGAGGGTCCCAGGAGTAGACACTGCCAGGGACAAGCACACTGCACCCACTCCTGTCGGACGGAGGTGTCCTCCTACCCTGAGGCCATGGGTGGGACTGTGGAATGCAGCTGACTCCCAGCACACCCTGCGTCTTCTGGGAGGGCCCCCGCCAAAGGTCAGCCAGCCACCATCCACAGGGCTGGAGAGGCCGATGCATTCAGCTAGAGAGACGGTCTGTGCTGGGCGGAGGAGGAACCAGAGCAGAGAACCGGAAGGTCCAGCCCGGCCAATTGTGAGCTCTGTGAGCCCAGGTCGTGGGGCCTCCAGCACCTCCAGCCTGGCTCAGAGAGAGCCCAGTGTCCGTGCCCTGCGGATATGCCAGGGCTGGAGCTGGGGCTAGACTCAAGGTGCACACCTGAGGTCTGCTGGTGCCATCATGAGTCCAGAGAAGCTTCTCTGGACATTTGTCCTTGTAGGGGCACAGCCTGCACCCTGGGTTCCCGCTTTTGCTTCCGGGGTCATCTTCCAAGTGTGGCCCTCTGGTGTGAAACACCCACATGTATTTTTTAGAAAGGTGCTGGCATCTCCCTTAGAGGCTGGAACTTGGACTTGCTGGCCCTGGGTGCAAGGAGCAGGGGAGCATGCGGGCCTGGGGCCAACAGCCACGTGTGAGTGCTTCAGTGAAAAGTGGACATGCCCAGCGCCGGCTCCACACTCCACCCGGTTCCCTCCCGGACCTGCTGCACGTGCTTGGTGTCCACCCGCCCCAGCTCCTGCCACGAAGGCAGCTGAGGGCAGGAGGAAGGAATCCTGCCCTTTTCTCCCTAACTTTTTATTTTTATTTTATTTTTTGAGACAGCATCTCACAATCTGTCGCCCAGGCTACAGTGGCATGATCTTGGCTCACTGCAACCTCCACCTCCGCAGTTCAAGTGATTCTCCTGCCTCAGCCTCCTGAGTAGCTGGGACTACAGGCATGTGCCACCATGCCCAGCTAAATTTTTTTTTTTTTTTAATTTTGAGTAGACACTGGGTTACCATGTTGGTCAAGATGGTCTCAAACTCCTAAGCTCAGGTGATCCGCCCACCTCGGCCTCCCAAAGTGCTGGGATTACAGGTGTGAGCCACCACGCCTGGCTTCTATTTTTTTTTTTTTGAGACAGTCTCACTCTGTCATCCAGGCTGGAGTGCAGTGGTACAATCTCAGCTCACTGCAACCTCCACCTTCTGGGTTCAAGTAATTCTTGTTTCCGAGCCCCCCGAGTAGCTGGGACTACAGGATTGTACCACCACGCCTGGCTAATTTTTTTATATTTTTAGTAACGACAGGGTTTCCTCATGTTGGCCAGGCTGGTCTCAAACTCCTGACCTCAGGTGATCCACCCGCCTCAGCTTCCCAAACTGCGGGATTACAGGCATGAACCACTGCACTGGGCCCCCAACTTTTTATTTAGAAAATCTTCAACACCACAGGAAATTGCATAGAGATCAGAATGACTAATACCTTCTCCCCAAAATTGCAAACATTTGCCAAAAATACCAAAACTGTGACCATTTTGCCACATTGCCCTCCTCCAACTGAGCCATTTGAGAGTCCCCTTACAAACATCCCAGCACTGGACCCCTAAACTGGCCCACAGACACCTCCTGGGAGTTCAGCATCCTCCCTGGTCCCACCGGGCAGGGCGGGCTCCAACGGCGCTTCACATCCACGTGCCTCTAAGATTCATCCCAGTGCGGATGTGCCAGTTGTCCCAATAATTCCTTTTCTAGTTGTTGCTTTGTTGTTTTTTGCAAATGTGATACTATCTAGAATCACATGCTGCGTTTGGTTGTCATATCGCTTCAGTCTTTTTTGTTCTAGAACATTCCTGCCCCTTTTTGTCTCGTATGACATTGAGATTCTGGAAGGCACCTTCACTTTGGGTTTGCCTGATTGCTCCCCCCACGTTGGAGCAGGTTGAGTTCTGGGGCAGGAGTTCTACCCCAAGGGATGCCATGTCCCCCGCAGCCGGGTGGGACCATTCATGGCAGCAGCGCTGACCGCGGCTACGGGGGTGGTTTCTCTGACTTTTTTATTGTTTCATAAGACGGGTTTCCCCATGTTGGTCAGGCTGGTCTTGAACTCCCGACCTCAGGTGATCCGCCCGCCTTGGCCTCCAAAGTGCTTGGATTACAGGCGTGAGCCACTGCACCCGGCGGGGGTGGTTTCTGAACCTCCCACCGTGAGCACCACGCTCTCTGTGCTCAGTAAGCCCCTGCGGTGACCCATGGAACAAACCGCTGCAGCCCGATTCTGTGTTCGCGGCGCCTCCTCCGAGTGTTGCCCTCTCCCCTGCCCTTCTGTGAGTTTTGAATGTGCAGTAATCCATCACTGTCACTGCCATGCATTTGATGGGGACCAGCGGGGGCCCTTGACCCACAGCCCCTGTGCACTTCCCATCTTTGGCACAAGCCCCTGCTCCCAGCTCACCCTGGGCTTGCTGACTCCCCACCCCTTCCTAGGCCTTGGTCTTGGCCATTTCTCTGGGTTCCCTGAGTGGGGGATGATGTCGAAATCCCTCTTTGAGGGATCGTTTTGGATAGTTTTTGGTTTCTTGCTCCATCTCTTTAGAGCAGTGTTTCCCAAACCCCACCTGCCTTGTCCCACTGGGAAGCCAGGACACCACCTGGCACTGGGGTGGCAGTGGGGGTGGGCAGTCAGACAAGGGCAAAGCGAGGGCCCCTGGACCAGAAAATGAAGAGGGTGTTGCGGGCAGGAGACCTGTGGGGCCAACTGTGGGGCCATCTGGGTGGCGGGAGCTGTGGGGGCAGGGCTGAGCGCCCTCAGCAGCCCACTGGAGAAAGCACGGCTGGGGTCCTTGTGTGGGGCCCAGGGCCCAATGTGAAGGCCATGGAGGGCTCCAGGTGGTGGCAGTGAAGATTAATGAGCATAGACAGTCTGCAGCCTGGGTCTGAGACATGGGATGGAGGGACAGGCCACTGAGACTCCTCATCTCAGCAGAAAGGAAACAGGCTTAGGGTGCCACACCTTGCCAAAACCCAGCCTGGCCAGGCTGTCCCGGCACCTTCCACTCAGAAAAGTTGTGCTGCTCCAGAGAAAAAGCCTGGGGTCAGAGTGGACCTGAGATGCATGGCACAACCCGTTGGACAGTGGTGATGAAGGGTTCAGGGACCTGAGGACCCAGAAGCGGGCACCTGGTGTTATACCCAGCAGAGCTGCTCCTAATAATGTCATTTCTCCTCTCTCCTTATAGGGCTCAGGCCCAGGCCCAAGGCCAAGTGAGAGAGCCCTGGCCAGGCCGCTGGACATGCTGCCATTCTGCTGAGAGAGGCTCTTCTGGGGCCGGGCTGGGACTGGGCCCCGGAAACCAAACGCCGTGCCTTACCCAGCCGGGGCCCTCCTGGAGCCTTCTTGGGCTGTTGTGGCTGGGACCCCGACAGGTACCGGTGTCCCACCAGGCCTGGTGCCCTCCTGCACCGCCTGCACGCGCCAGCCTCCCACTTGCTTCCTAAAGGCGACCCTGGCCCACACCCGCATGCGCCCGGTGCAGCCTGCCCAGGGCCAGTGCGGGGGCTGCATCCCACCAGTGCCCACCAAAGCCCTGCCTGCCCTACAGCCCAGTGGGGTTTAATCAAAACGCGATGTTTTGTGAATCTTTAAGGCTCAGAGGTGGCCGAGTTGGGGGCCCTGGGCAGGGGCAGGCTGGCAGGTGGTGCCATGGCAGGCTAGGGTCCCTTCCCGTGGGGTCTGGCCCCATCCCAGCATGTCCAGCCCCTAAAGTTGGGGGAAGGGGATCTGCCTTTGCTGCCACTGCCAGGCCAATGCCCTGCAGCTGAGAGTTGGCCACACATCAACAGAAAACCCCTCCCAGTGCCAGCTGTACAGGGTGGGTGAGCCCTGGGGGCAATACGGGTCCCACCTGAGGGGCTGCAGGGCGACACCCAGCAGCCACCACCCCATCACTGCCCACTCAGCAAGGCAGCCTGCCCAAGCCTGCCCCTTGCCAGGTGTGCCCTGAGGCTGGTGGCTAGACACGTGGCCAATAAAAAGCAGATGTAGCCCCATGTGCGCCTGTGGTGTTCAGAGGCTGTGGGGGTGCGCGGCAGACACAGGCTCCCACAGACATGGTGGGCGCTGGACAGGCCCCGTGTGAGCGTTCACCGCCGAGGGTCCCCAGATCGCGTGTGAGC